GTAATAGTAGTAGTAGTAATAGTAATAATAATAGTAGTAGCAGTGGTCGTAGTAATCGTAATAGTAGTGGTGGTAATAATGGTTGCCGTAGTATTGTAGTAGTAGTAGTAGTAGTAGTAGTAGTAGTAGTAGTAGTAGTAGTAGTAGTAGTAGTAGTAGTAGTAGTAGTAGTAGTAGTAGTAGTAGTAGTAGTAGTAGTAGTAGTAGTAGTAGTAGTAGTAGTAGTAGTAGTAGTAGTAGTAGTAGTAGTAGTAGTAGTAGTAGTAGTAGGAGTAGTAGGAGTAGTAGTAGCAGTAGTAGCAGTTGTTGTAGTTGTAGTTGTAGTTGTAGTTGTAGTTGTAGTTGTAGTTGTAGTTGTAGTTGTAGTTGTAGTTGTAGTTGTAGTTGTAGTTGTAGTAATTGCAGAAATACTAGCAGTACCAGTCGTAGTAGAGGTAGGTGCATGCGCGGCAGGAGGCAGGAGGAGACCCATGGAACGGGCGACGACGGGCGCGGCTCCCCCGGGGGGCATCGCAGAATGCGATGCCCTTTGTTCTGCTACGACCCGTGGCGCCGTTCGCTTACTACCCGCCCTGCCGCAGCACAGGACTCCTGCTGCCTCGCGACCTCCTCGAGGTGCGCGCTCCTCTCCTTGAGGCGGTGGCGCCGCCCTTTCGTGCTGGTCACCTTCTAATGACAGGCGCGCCACCCACTGCCGCCATTGCAAACCATGGGCGGACGACCTACGGCAGCGCACTGCTGGGCGGGGCGCCAGTCGCACCCAACAGTCGCTACTGCGCGTCCGCCGCCCGCGGTCTTTCGCGGCGAGAGGATGCCAGCGGCCTTGGCGCGCGCCAAGCTCTGGCGCAGGGTCCATTTGGCTGTCTCGAGCGCGGTCTGCGCCGCGGCCTTCTCATTATCCGGTTCCTCGCGCCGCTGTCTCTCTTCGGGGGGGGGGGGGGGACAGGCGCGGGGCGCCGTTTTGTTGCTGTTGCGTTCTGGCCAATTCAATGCGTCAGGAATTACCGCCGAGGTCCTCCGGGAAGGCTAGCTTCCAGCGCTTGGCCTCCTTCCAGGCGGTCTTCGCGTCGCCCTTCCAGGACCGCGCGTCGCCCCGCGCCCCCTTAGCCTTCCGCGCGCGCGCGTTGGGGCGTCTCCCGTAGACGGGCCGCGAAATAGAGACGCGATCTAGCGCCGTGCAGAAGCGGCGCGATTCGGAAACGCGGTGTAACATTCGTGTGTTTTGTTGCGTCGTCGAATCGCGCCGCTTCTGCGTTCCGTGTCTCGTGTTGCGCCGCCCCGTCGTTTCGCGGGCCGCCGCGCGGACCTTGTCCAAGGCCGCGCGGCGGAAGGTTGCCACTGGCGTCTTGTTGCGTGGCTGTTTGAGGAAAGTTTCAAGCCGTTTTCCGGCGCGGTACTTTGCCAGCTTCCTGTCGTAGGCCGCGCTGTCATTCGTCGGGTTGCCCCTGGCCCCAACCAGCGTCGCCCGTGGCTCAGGCTGCATTTTTCCATCCCATTTATCCTTGTCCTCCCCATCCTCTCCTCCTTCTCCCTCGTCCTCGTCTTCCTCTTCCTCGTCCACGTCCTGGTCCCCCTCCCTCCTCCTCCCCGGTTCCCTCCCCCATCCCCCTTCCCATTCTTCTCATGGGAGGAGGGGGCGCGAGCGGCAGCAGCAGGCGAGGCGTGCGATGAGAACGACGCTCGTCCCGCGCGTTCTTGGCTTTCCGCATGCGCTCGTTGGATCGTTTTCCGTGGATGGGCCACGAAAGAGAGAAGCGATCTAGTGCTGCGCGAAAGCGGCGCGACACGGAAACGCGGTGTAACGCTCGTGTGTTATGATGCGTTGTCGAATCGTGCCGCTTCTGCGTGGTACCACGTGGGTGTTGGGTTGTAAGATGAGTTTTTGTTGTGCATCGTGGTATTGAGGGCGTCTTCTCTCGCGTTGTGTTGCTCCGTCGCTTTGCGGGCCGCCGCGCGGACCTTGTCCAAGGCCGCGCGGCGGAAGGTTGCCACTGGCGTCTTGATGCGTGGCTGTTTGGGGAACGCTTCCAGCGGTTTCTGGTTTGGTGTTCCTTGTTGGCTGTTACCTTTCCGTCGTAGGCCTCGCTGTCTTTGGTTGGGTTGCCCACGGCCCCAACCAGCGCCGTTTAAGCCGAGCTTTGAACCTGCGCGCCTTTGCACAGGTTTGATATTTCTCTTCCACCCCCAACTTATCCTTATCCTCCCCAGCCTCTCCTCCTCCTCCTCTCTCGTCCTCGTCCTCGTCCTCTTCTTCTTCGTCCTCGTCCTGGTCCCCCTCCTCCCTCCTCCTCAATCTCCCCCCCTCCCCCTTCTCATTTTCTCATGAGAGGAAGGGGCACGAGCGGCAGCAGCAGGCGAGGAATACGATGAGATACGATGAGAACGGCGCCTAAGCAAGAACCGTGAGTTCGATGCACAAAAAGAGGAATAGTACGAATAAGAAGCCCGATGCGAATAATACCAAAACGAGATGAGGAATACTAGTATGGTTTTGAAGAAGAAGACGAAACGACGAACCTGTATGATGACAGGGATGGGGGGTGAGTGTATTTATATATATGTATGTCTATACATATAGATACCTGTCGTTTTCCCCAACCATCATGTGGTGTTGCGCCCTCGTTTTGAAGGGACGGTCCCCGCGTTCTCTTCTCCTCTCCTCCTCCCCCCCCCCGACCCCCTCCTCCCGTCACCCCCTCTCTTCAACACGCCCCTCGCACGTCTCGTGGCCCCATAGGGAGCTCGTGGCCCCATAGGGAGCTCCACCGAAGGCCCCAGTGGCACCGCCCGCGTGCGTCACACCCACCCAGTACAGCGCTTCGTGGCCCCATATAGGGAGCAGGCCCCCAGTGGCACCGCCCGCATGCGTCACCCCCATCCAGTGCAACGCTCCGTGGCCCCATGGGGAGCTCCACCGAAGGCCCCAGTGGCACCGCCCGCATGCGTCACCCCCACCCAGTGCAACGCGCCGTGGCCCAATAGGGAGCTCCACCGAAGGCCCCACTGGCACCACCCGCTGTGTTACCCCCCACCCAGTACAGCGTTTCGTGGCCCCATAAGAACTCCACCGACGGCCCTAGTTTATACACTCGCATGCGTTTTCCCTACCAAGTGCAGCGCTTCGTGGCCCCCTCAGGAGCTCCACCGAAGGCCCCAGTGGCGGCGTTCGCATGCGTCCCCCCCGCTCAGCACAGCGCTTCGTGGCTCCATAGGGAGCTCCACCGAAGGCCCCGGTGGCTGCACTCGCATGCGTTTCCCCCGCCCATTTCGCTGTTTCGTGGCCCCATAAGGGGGGCTCCACCGAATGCGCCAGTGCCTCACTGCGGCCCCGTGGTGCATTCCGCCGAAAACACCAGTGGCGGTGCCCGCAGGGCGGCCCCGACCCACATCGGCACACCTTTTCGCATGCTTCATGGCCCCATGAGGAGATGCCCCGAAGTCGATACCCGCAACGGCGGCACTCACAACTACATATGGTTGGGTCCGTCGCCAGGATGCCAAGTCAGAACGCAGCTAGCACAACTGGCATTTTGGAGGTTGCATTCAGAAAACCAGGTCGCACACACAAAACACAACTAAATCAAGCAAGCTTGAGGGGCCGCATGCAACCACATACTGCATACAAAAGCTGGCAATATTGTTGAACGGGGTCCTTGCCAAGGTGCAGTTTCAACAAGTATATGCGATTGCTTGCCCAGTGGAACAAGTGTCATCCTTACACATGCAATGCAGATCGAGGTGTATGCGTATACGTATCCATATGAAAGTGTGCTCGTGAATGCCCCCCTTCCCCCCAAGTCCTCGGTGTGTCTTTCCCCTACAACTTCTATTCCTATATATACACATGTGATGAGAGAGAGGGAGAGAGAGAGAGAGAGAGAGAAACAAAGAGAGAGAGAGAGAGTATGACTGGAAACAAAATATGTGGTATATGCCGTACATGTGCTCCAACAGGGGAATCGGTGTATGTGTTTATACACATCTATGTATACACACATACATATATGTATGTAATTGGCATAAGTACACATATGTCTATGTTTGGTGTCTGGCCTTCTTGAGAGAGCGAACGCGATAAGCTGTATGTGTGTCGCTTACTGGCTGTCCTCATGCCGATCAGCATTCACATAATTTTCCAGCGCGTTTATTGTAACTGTGTCGTTTTACCTGGTGTCCTTCCCGGCGTGACATCCCTGGGGGAGCAGGAGGAAGGTGATGAGGAGAAAGGGACAGAGGAGGGGAAGGAGAAGGAGAAATGGCACAGTTGTTACAAAATATGTGTGCATGGATGTTTATACATGCAGTTGTATGTGCTTGTCTTTTTTTCTTAAGCAAGCAATGAATCACTTATGTGTGATGTGCGTGTGTGCCTTTTCCAGGAGCCTTCAAGAAAGTGGTCAACATCATATGTTCGAGGTCTGCTTTCACAGAGCTTTCTTACCACAACTTTCAAACTAGTGTGTGTGTGTGTGTGTGTCAGGTATGTTTTTTCGCGATTTCCTGCCTGGCGCAGTGTCCCTGGGGGAGGAGATAGGAGGAAGAGGAAGAGGAGGAGGAGGAGACAGGAGGAGTAGGAGGCGGAAGCGAAAAATGGAGGTAGAGGAGGCGGAGGAGGAGGAGAAGGAGGAGGAGGAGGTGGAGCCCGCGTGTATGATCCTTGGGGGACGGCCATATGTACATACACATAGATGTGTGTGCGTGTGTGTATTTAAACGTCTACATATAAAGATACACGCAGTTAGACGTGGACATCCCCATCCCTCCCATGTCTTCCCTGGCCCCCATTGCATCCGAAACGCCGAGGCACATGGGAGTAGCAATGCCGACCACAGTTGCCGCGCTCTGCTGGCAGTCCCCGCACAGGCTGCCCGCAGCGGCCGCGCTGCCCGCTGCACTGCAGGGTGTGTCCGCGCTGCCGATCTGAGTAGCGTGCCAGCTCGATGGAGCTCCAGTGCGCCGGTTCCCAGACACCCTCGGGCCATGAAAGCATCACGACGGTTTGTTTGTCGCAGGCCCCGGGCCCGTCAAAAAACGATTCGGGATGGAAAGCCGGTCCCGGGGAATGGGTCGAGACCTCCGGGGGTCCGGGCCTGAGAGCCTGTGAGCACCCTGCTGCCGCGCTTGTCGCGCTGATGCCTAACATGTCAGCGGGGTGTTCACGCGGGCAAATCGGGCCAAGAGCAGGCTGAACAACTACAGCTGGCACATGCGATGGGGAACAAAAGAAGAGGGACGGGGCAGAGAGGGCGGCGGCCGCGGGGTCCTTGTAATTGTCGGGCGACTCTCGGTCCCTGTACCGATGGCACGCGCTCCGCAGTCTTTCCCCCCCCCCGCACGCCGCACGCCGCGGCGGTCGCGCCCGCGCATCTGGGCAGCCTCCGTGTAGAGTCTTTAAGTGCATAGAGTAGTTAAAGGCGCATTGTGCGTCGAGCCTTTCAGTGCACCAGGTGTCCCACAAATTTTATGGCTCCGTGGGGTCATCGAGGGACCAAGAATTCCCGTCGGGCAAATGCTGGCAAACGGATTATTCCCCAATCAGTGCTTGCACTGAAGGGGTTCTCGCGGAAGTTGAAGGAGTTGGCGAAAGTTTCCGCCGATTTTGGTCGCACGCTGGGTTCCCGGGTTCCCGGTTCCGGGTTCCCGGGTTCCTGGTTCCGGGTTCCGGGCCGATTTCGGAGGGTGGCGAGGTTCCCCCGGGTTCTTGGTCGATCTTCTTATCGATCGGTCCCACCATCGATCTCATTACCCATGTCTCTATCGATCTCACCATCGATCTCACAATCGATCTCTCTATCGATCTCACAAGCGATCTCACTAGAGATCGCATGAGCGATCTCGTGATCGATCTCACTATCGATCTCATTGAATCGATTTCACTCTCGGTCTCACGAGCGACCTTATAATCGTCCTCACTATCGATTACACTATCGATCTCATTATCGATCTCACAATCGATCTCAAGATCCATAGAATTAATTTTAAAATCATCCACTGATGGGGGTTTTCTCAGGTGTAATGTCTATCATCGGATTGCGAACTTTGCCTGCCTGCGCGTCTAAATTGCGTGTGATTGTGGGGCGTCAACTCAGCAGCAACACGAGGGCTGGCAGCGCGCATCTCAGGCGAAGGATCGGTGTGCAGCCCTTTGCTGGCATTCCTGGGCCTCGGAAGCGACGGGGCAGTCTACCATTTCTAGCGTTTGGGTGAGCTGGCGATTCCGATCTTTCGTTGTCATCCCCGCTGCAGTTGAAAATTTCCATTTTGAGTTGGGTGCGGTTGTCACCGTTTCTGTTTAGTTAGCGTAGTTCATGCTCGTGTTTTTGGCGGTCGTCCTTTGCCGATGTCGGGTCTTTGAGGGGCCGCGTGGTCTGGTGCACAATTCCTGTCCAGCTCCGAACCGCTTTCGAACCGTATTTTGAGTATCCTCCGGATCCTGGATGCAGAGTCGTCGGGGCTCAAAAGACGGGGGTCAGTGCAAACAAGGGTCAAACAAAGCGCCGGATCTTGAAGGATCCTGCAGGGCCAGAGTCGCATTGACCCAGGCCTGGGTGCAGGATCCTGCAGAATCTTACAGGATCCTTCGCATTATTGGGCGCAGGATTCTGCAGGATCCTGCAGGATCTTGCAAGGCCTGACTGACCCGGGTCTGAATTGACCTTGGTCAGAAGACCCCCGAAGGCGCCCCCCGGGTCCCCCCTGGTGTTCCCGCGCCTGGCATAGACCCGGCCACCGTTCTCGTCGCCGCTTCTGCCTGCTCCGTGTCCAGCGCTCCTGAAGTTGTCCCTGGAGGCCGTTCTGTCCAGCTGCTTGCGGCAGGCCTCGCCGCCATACCCGCACAGCTGCGCTGTGAAAGAGAGGCTTGGCTCAAGACCTGCTCCGCTTCGGGGCCCCCGTCTGCACTGGCGCAGGTCTCGAGCACGTCTGTCTTTCCGCGGCCTATTTCTCTTCCTCTTCCTTTCTTCCTCCTCCTTCGCCTCCGCATCTCCCCTCCTCCCTGTTTTCTCTTGAGAGTATGTGCGGGGCTTGCTCGGGGCTTCTTGTGGGACTGTTGGGATCCTCTGTGGGGCATCTGGGGGGCCTGTTGGTTTCTGTTTGGAGCTTCGCGGGGGTGTCGGGGCTGTTTGGGGCACGAAGCATTTACCGAGCTGACCCGAAGAGGCTCGGTTGAGCCATCAGCTCTCCTGGGCCACCTTGTGGGATTTTCCCAACAGTCTTGGGACCTTGTGGCGGGCCCTCTTTAGAGCGTCTTGGGCCACTTGTGGGTCTTCGTGAGGCTCTCTGAAGCTTTGCCGAGCCAAGACGACTCAGAAGCGAAACGCACAGATTTCCACAAGGCATTGTGTGTGTTGCTGGGTCGTCGGTTTCTCGCCGCTGCGCCGCGCGTCTCCCTTCTTCCCGCATCCCCGTCGCCTTCCTTTTTCGCACCTGCTGGTGTTCAGTTGTCCTCTCCTTCTGAGTCCGTTCTCCAGGATGGCTGGCGCTCAAAAGCTCAACCTATGACCCCAGCGGGGGAACTTGCGTGGCGTCGCCACGCCAAGTTCGGCACACTCACACGGATCGTGCCCTGTAGGGTTCTACACACACATGGTCCCAGAGGGTGATTTCGCACGGCGTCGCCCTGGCCGGGTGATTCATTTGTTTATGCCGCACAGCCTGTGGCCCTTGAGAGCCCCGGATGGCTTTCTTCAGGGGGGCATTGTCGTAGAAACGTTTTGGCGTGGCGCGCACATTGGGAAACCTAGATTGCTCAACAGGAGCTCTGTTGGGTCGTTTGGGGGCCTTGTGGGCCTCTTGGGGTGCCTCTGGGAGCTTCTCGGAGGCCTCTCGTGGCCTCCCAGGGGCCTCTTGGGGCTCTGCTTGGGGCATGCTTGGGATCTTGGAGGCCACTTGTCGGGGAGGGCTCCTGGGTCCCCCCCTCCCGGGCCCCCCCCCCCGGAGCCCTCGTGGCTTTTTAGGGGGCAGTCTTGGGGGCCTCCTGGGCCATCTTGGGAGCCTCGTGGGTCCTTCGGGGCCCTCTTGGGGGCCCCTCGGGTTGTCCTCGTGCGATATGACGGGCCTCTTGGTCTGTCTTAGCAGGTATGCCAAACATGGCGAGCAACCCGAGGAGAACCAGCGATTGTTGCCTGTTGGGAGCCGTCTTGGGGCGCCTTGGGAGCGTCGTGGGGCGTGTTTGGGGCCTCTCGGGCGGGCTTGAGGCCATCCTGGGGTCATCCTCTTGGGCCGTATTGGAATCTTCTGGTGGATTGTTTACGCGTCCCTAGGCGGATGCCGACTCGGGCACCCTCTGGTAGAGCTCCCCTTCTCCAACCCTGCCCGACAGGGCTTTCAGGGGAAAGTTTCTGGAGGAGGGGCAACTACCCATCGATCGGAAAAAGTAGGTAGAAACACGAACTAGGAAGGCGTTGAAAGTAGATTGGGTCCCGTCCGCCCCCTAAGGAGGACGGCAAAGGCGAAGCCGATCGATCATTGCAGCAGGAAGGCGCTTCAAGTAGATCTGGAAGTTGGGCATCCAAAACTACCTACTTCCGACGACCGATGGGGATCTCATGTCCCGCCGCTATCGCATGTCCCGCGGGGCCCCTAGGAGTCGGCGAATCTAGACGAAAAATGAACAGTTATAGTCAAACAAGAGTCGATAAGGGGCAAACGAATACAGGACAAATCGTCTCCATATTAGTTTTTGACTACTTTTGAACATTCCTCCTGTAGAGGGACAGGGGGGGGGAGCGAACGGCGGAGAGCACGCGCGAAGAGGGAGAGCCCTCCTTGGGGGGGTGTTTTTTGGAGGCCCTGCATAAGGGCGCCTTGTGGCCCTCCCTGGGGGGTGGCGCCCTCCTGTGGGGCAGGAGGAGGAGGAGGAGGAGGAGGAGGAGGAGGAGGAGGAAGGAGGAGGAGGAGGAGGAGGAGGAGGCGGAGGAGAGGGAGGGAGGGAGGGAGGGAGGGAGGGAGGGAGGGAGGGAGGGACAGAGAGCAGCAGCCCTTGGACGTGGACATCCGCGAGTGGTCCCAGCAACATGTCCTGGTCCTCCTCTGCCTCCTGCTCCCCCTCCCCTTCCTCCTGGTCCTTCCCCTGCGCCTCTGGTCCCCCTCCTTCCCGTTCGCCTTTTCTCCCTCCCCCTCGTCCTCCTCCCTGTCCTTCTTCCCCTTCGCCTCTTTCTCGCCCCCGTCCCCTTCCTTCCCCTTCGCCCTTTCTCCCTCCCCCTCGTCCTCCTCCTTGTCCTGCTCCCACTCCCCCTCCTCGTCGTCGTCCTTCCTCTCCTCCTTTTCCTTCTCCACCTCCTATTCGTCTTCGCCCCATCGGAGTCGCGAGGGAGGCGGTATTGCACGTATTAGGGTCTGCGGGGTGTGCTGCGGGATGCTCGGTCTGGGAAATAGGGTTTCATCGTAGAAACACGAGGTACCGGCGCATTCGAAATAAACAAAATAGCGTTTCGTGCGTGCCCGCTCGCACTCGGTGCACTCTGGCGCGCCTCGAAAGCGTCCCCGTGCGTGCCCGCTCGCACGCGGCGCACCCTGGCGCGCCTCGACAGCGCTTCCGTGCGTGCCCGCTCGCACGCGGCGCATTCTGGCGCGCGCCGAACTTGCTTTCGCGCGTGCCCGCTCGCACTCGGTGCACACTGGCGCGCCTCGAAAGCGCCCCCGTGCGTGCCCGCTCGCACGTAGTGCACTCTGGCGCGCCCAGAAAGCGCTTCCGTGCGTGCCCGCTCGCACGCGGCGCATTCTGGCGCGCGCCGAACTTGCTTTCGCGCGTGCCCGCTCGCACTGTGTGCACTCTGGCGCACCTCGAAAGCGCCCCCGTGCGTGCCCGCTCGCACGCGGCGCACTCTGGCGCGCCCAGAAAGCGCTTCCGCGCGTGCCCGCTCGCACTCGGCGCATTCTGGCGCGCGCCGAGCTTGCTTTCGTGCGTGCCCGCTCGCACGCGGCGCACCCTGGCGCACCCAGAAAACGCTTCCGTGCGTGCCCGCTCGCACGCGGCGCATTCTGGCGCGCGCCGAACTTGCTTTCGTGCGTGCCCGCTCGCACTCGGCGCATTCTGGCGCGCGCCGAGCTTGCTTTCGTGCGTGCCCGCTCGCACTCGGTGCACTCTGGCGCGCCTCGAAAGCGCTTCCGAGCGTGCCCGCTCGAACGCAGTGCACTCTGGCGCGCCTCGACAGCGCTTCCGCGCGTGCCCGCTCGCACGCGGCGCATTCTGGCGCGCCTGGAAGCGCCTGGGAGCGCCTGGGGGCGCTTGGGAGCGCCTGGGAGCGCCTGCGAGCGATTGGGAGCGTGCCGGGAGCGCCCGACGCGAGATCACATTTGGGCATGCTGATCGGGGTCGGCAACGCCGCAACACGTTATCGCGGCCGTCAGCGCTGTTTCCATCGCTCGTCGAGATATCGTTCGAGCTTGCTCAATACGTGGTGCTTTTCCTTGCGAGTCGCGTGGATCGCACCGCACTTCCGCCGGATCTTGCCCCTCGCGGCTGGCGCGCTCGGGTACCACAGCAGCCACGTGATGGCCCGCTATCGCAGCGTTGACATCTGCACCGTAT